GATGGCGCCGTTGGTGTGGATAAACTATACACACCCGGGGTTACAATAGATTCAGAGATTGTTGTTTTTCCAAACATTACTTTTTATTTTTTCCAACAAAGTGTCACAAAGGCCGGTGGCGGATATTCACACCGACGCTATACGTGCACAACTGTCATCAAATTCCAATAATTTTTCTGCTTCGTTACCATCTACATGGTTTCCTTCTGGTATTCCCGTTGGCCAAATCGCTCTTCCTCCCCCAATGAGTCCGTCACCTATCGAATCTCCTGGTCTCAGCACGGATTCATTTTCCATAGTCTCACGAGGTGATCTTACCTCATCGAGTGATTCTCCACTGGTGCCACCCTCAACTAATGGGTCTCCACTGAATTTTGCGTTGTTTGCGGTCTGGTTAGCTAGCTCTATTAGTCAGAAAACTTCCAAGGCTCCCACAACAATTAAACAGGCCCTTTATGGCCCTGATGGTGCTGAATGGCGTGCTGCTTGCCTTAAGGAATTATCTGCATTTAAAGAACACCAGACGTTTTCACTCGTCCCTCCTCCGTCTGATGGTCGTTCTCTAGGTACTCGCTGGGTATTTACTATAAAGGATGATGGAAGAAAGAAAGCTCGACTTGTTGCACAAGGATTCCGTCAGAAAGAAGGCATTGATTACACTGAAACATTTGCTCCGGTTATTCGCTACGATAGTGTTCGTGTCTTTTTAGCACTGGCTTGTTGCTTAAATCTTCGTATCCATCAGATGGATGTTAATACCGCCTTCTTAAACTCAGATATGGAGGAGTCGGTCTATGTCAAGCAACCACCTGGTTTCATTGATTCTGATCCTGCTCATGAAGGGTGGGTCTGGAAATTACATGGGGGTATGTACGGGTTCAAACAGGCTCCTCTACTTTGGAACAAACATATTAATCGTTCCCTCACTGCCTTGGGCTTTACCCGAAATGAGAAAGAGTTTGGTCTCTATTTCAAACAAACTGCTGACGGTCCTTTATTTGTTGCTCTATATGTCGATGATTTGTTGATTGCTGCTCCATCCCCACGAATCATCTCCCTAACTAAGAAGAAATTACAAGAAATCTACTCTATGAAGGATCTTGGTCCTGTATCCAAATTTCTCGGTATGAATATTACCCAATTTCCCAACGGTAATATCACGCTATCATTAGCAGATTATATTGCCAAAGCTGCCGCTGATCAACAAACTCCCCTACATAAGAAAGTTCACATTCCCCTATCTCCCACGATTAATTATTTTGATTCTAATTCTCCTGCTGCTAAAAACATTACTACTTATCAAAGCATAGTTGGTCAACTTATCTTTATTGCTAACGCAGGCCGTCCTGATATTGCTTATGCTGTCTCGCTGCTTTCTCGGTTCCTTAAGGATCCTCGTGTAGTTCATTTAAATGCTGCTCATCGTGTTTTGCAATACCTTTATACTACTCGTTTCCATGGTCTCGCTTATCGTGCAGGCTCACCGCTTCAGCTCACTGTCTATTCTGATGCTTCGCATGGTTCTTTGGCGGATATGCCCTTCTCAACGGGGGGTTATGTCACTCGCCTAGCTGGTGGTTGTGTCACTTGGTCATCTAAAAAGATCAAGACAACAGTTTGTCTTTCCTCCACCGAAGCAGAATATATTGCTGCTAGTGAAGCTGTTAAAGAAATTGAATGGTAGGTGATCTTACTACTGTTATGGATCTCACACTAAACAAAAAAAATTATATGTTGACAATGAACCAGCAATTAAGTTAAGTAAGAATCCAGTAATGCATCCAAGAACTAAACATATCGCACTGAGATATCACAAAATCAGACATGCAGTGGAACAGGATATTGTTGATTTGGAATATGTTAATACAAAAGACCAACAGGCTGATATCCTAACTAAAATTTTAGCTAAATCCCAATTTGAAACCTTAAGAGATGAATTAGTCTCAAATTTAACTACTTAATAAATTAACATACAGAATTAATTTATTATGGAAAGCTTGCATCTAAAGCTTCCGGGGGGCTGTTGGATTCTGGGAATCAGTAGATGACAATCTTAAGTTATCCAGATCTAACCCTATGTCTGAAAGATATACTTTGCTGACAGGAACACATTCAGGGTAACTGTTAGTTTTCAAAAGGTATATAAGCAGACCAGATTTCAAGTTTCTAGAAAATATTTTCTCTTTTCTAATGTTCACTTTATGAACTAAATCATATTTTATATTTTTGTATACTATATTTAGAATTTATAAAAAACCAAGAGCTTGAATAAACAACTAACGTATAATTGTACTTATACCTTAGATCTCAGTTAATATATCCACTATCACTCCAGTACAACCATGTCCCACCCTGATCAACAGTCCAATAACACTCACCTATTCCAATCTCAAGAAATAGGTGCCGTCCTGGTTTCGAACCTGCGCAAACATTTAACAATATAAGTTAGTCTAATTCATTAAACTGATGGTTAGACACAATATTCATTAGTGACAGTATGATAAAATATGAACCAGTTGAGATGGTGAAAATCTAAGACCAGATATGAAATCACAAGCATTGAATTAATAATATCAGATATTAGCTTCGACAATTGGAGTTAGTTTAGGTACTAATTGATGGGGCCTTAACTGCTGAGGTAAGGTCGTACAAAGTGATCAGATTATTGAATAAATATAATAATGTTACGCTACCATATTATAAAATGATTCTCTGCAAGTGGTTCTAAGAATATACGTTTGTGCGTTTATTTCTAAATGACCCATTCTGTAGATAATACCGTGTTACGTGATCCCATCACTATTATGTATTTTTCAATTTTTTACGGAAATCCCATAGTTAAGGCCAATTTTTCATAATTTTACGGAAGTCGCTTTATTATGTAAAAATATTTTTTCAGGATTTTATGGAAATGAAAATATAATTTTACGGAAGTCTAATAAATAAGCGTAGGGAATTATTGGGTAGTATTTTTCTCGGTTTGGTATTATTTTTTAGGATGGATCTTGGTTGGGCGACATGGATGGGAGTTGGTATTGGTTTTTAGGAAACGTGATATGGAAACAGGTTTTTCCGGGTCGGTATTGGTTTTTAGGAAACGTGATATGGAAACAAGTTTTCGCGGGTCGGTGTTGGTTTTTAAGAAAGTTATTGAGTGCGCGACGGTGTATGTTAATTAGGATGGTTATGGACAGTAAATAATAAAGTGGTGGTAGTTAAAGTAATGGTTGTTTAAAAAGTTGTAGTTAAGTTGAGATAATGAAATTTGACCACAAAGGTAAAGTTGACATGGAGATTAAGATTATTGAATAAAAAATATTTTTAACAATAAAAGTTGGTCTAATTCATTAAACTGATGGTTAGACACAATATTCATTAGTGACACTCTGATAAAACATGAACCAGTTGAGATGGTGAAAATCTAAGACCAGATATGAAATCACAAGCATTGAATTAATAATATCAGATATTAGCTTCGACAATTGGAGTTAGTTTAGGTACTAATTGATGGGGCCTTAACTGCTGAGGTAAGGTCGTACAAAGTGATCAGATTATTGAATAAATATAATAATGTTACGCTACCATATTATAAAATGATTCTCTGCAAGTGGTTCTAAGAATATACGTTTGTGCGTTTATTTCTAAATGATATATTCCATGTGTGGTTCCGTGTTACGTGATCCCTTCCGTGGTTATATGATAATGAGTGGCCGGTTTATAGGGATGGTTTAAAGGTGTGATTTATGGATGTGATTTATAGATGTGATTTATAGGTATTATTTATAGGTTTGGTTTATAGGTTTGGTTTATAGGGTTGATTTATAGGGTTGATTTATAGGAATGGTGTAGAGGAATGGTGTAGAGGAGTGGTGTAGAGGAGTGGTGTAGAGGAGTGGTGTAGAGGTGTGGTGTAGAGGTGTGGTGTAGAGGAGTGGTGTATGTTGGATTCTGGGAATCAGTAGATGACAATCTTAAGTTATCCAGATCTAACCCTATGTCTGAAAGATATACTTTGCTGACAGGAACACATTCAGGGTAACTGTTAGTTTTCAAAAGGTATATAAGCAGACCAGATTTCAAGTTTCTAGAAAATATTTTCTCTTTTCTAATGTTCACTTTATGAACTAAATTATATTTTATATTTTGTATACTATATTTAGAATTTATAAAAAACCAAGAGCTTGAATAAACAACTAACGTATAATTGTACTTATACCTTAGATCTCAGTTAATATATCCACTATCACTCCAGTACAACCATGTCCCACCCTGATCAACAGTCCAATAACACTCACCTATTCCAATCTCAAGAAATAGGTGCCGTCCTGGTTTCGAACCTGCGCAAACAGGTTATGAGCCCTGCCAATGCAACCGACCTTATTCCCATTGAACTACTTGGTGTCCAAAACTATGATATGTGGTATCATTACTTTATGCAAGTAGTTGGTGAAGCCAGTCACATTTGGTCAGAATATGTTGAAACTGGAGATATTCAATCCGTTAGAATTGAATATGGATTACCTGATATTCAAATCAAGTCTATGAAAATAATCTTAGACACTAATCTTGTTTCTCTTATCAAAAAGAATGTTTCTAAAGATATTGAGAAAAAGATTAGAAACTCCTTCCTGATGACTAAAAGATCTGGTCCAACAGGATTGTTACTTTTAGAGTACTTAAAAAAGAAGTATGGTAGGAAATGTGTTAAGTCCACCATGCCTATTTTTTCTGAAGTCAACTCCGCCTCCTCCAAACCTTTAGATGAAAGAGGAGACTGGGCAATAAAATTTGTCAACACCATGTTCAACTGTAGTGATGAACTTGACATCAATAATTTTTTCGACGATCCTGCTATTAAATCTGCCGTTAGTGCTTATCACGAGAAACTACAGGACGCCATCGCTGCTCTGTTGTTGATGGCTATTACTCCAGAATTAAAGCAAAAATTTAATGATTTTTATGGATCGAGAACTACTATTTCTTATCATGAAGTAGAAGATATGGTAGAGGATCTGAAGACTACCAAACCTTCAAATGTTTCTGCTAACGTAGCTGCTTTTGTTGCTCAGAAGAAGAGATTCTACAACAACAACAATAATAATAATTACAATCAAAAGAAGAAGATTGTTTGCAAAGTCTGCAAAGCTTCTCACAATGTTGAAAATTGTCCTGAGATTCAAAAATTCTTAAGTAAGAACAATTATTCAAAGAAAACCGGCTCATCGAATAATGATGACTGGAATGCTGGTATGGTAAGCTATAATCAAAATAGTTCTGATTCCGGTGAAACTATCTGGATGGCTGTTGATATTGAAGGTAATTGTTTCAATGCAAGCCTCCCAGCTCCAGGCTCTTTCACTGAGAAAGATAAGTCCACCTGGCTTTTGGACACTGGTTGTACTTCACATTTGTGTTGTGACTTACAACTATTTGAAAATTTCAATCCTTCCCGTAACACTAACAACATTAGCGGTGTTGCAGGAAGTGTAGCCATACATGGTTATGGTGATGTTGTTATTGAAGGGATTAGACTAGTTCATGTGGCCTATGTTCCCGACTTACCAGTTAATCTGATTTCGGTCCGTCAAGCAACTGAAGCCAGTGGTTGTAAGTTTACCTTTAGTAATTCCTCTGTTTTTATATCATCGCCTTCTACTCCTCTAAAGAAGATCGGAAGCGTTTATAAAAGGTTATATGTCTTTGATACTTCCATTAATGATGACAAAGATACTGAACTATCGTTTGTTGCAGGAAGTGACCCTATGCTATCCACAACAATTCAACCTGTCTCAGAGAGTGTTCGCTGGCATAGTCGCTTTGGACATCCTGGTATTGAAGCATACAATTGTCTGGCCAAAACTCTGTCTCTTCCTCGAATGAACCCCGATACTGTTACAGTTTGTCCTACCTGCTCTTTAGGAAAAGGTCTTATTAAGAAGGGGACTAACTCTAGAACTAAATATACCAGTCCACTTCAACTCATTCAAGTTGACCTATGCGGAAATTTTCGTTACAAAGAGTATCAATCTAATCGATATTTTATGACGATTAGAGATGCTTATACAAGGTACTATACTGTCATCCACTTGAAGACAAAGAAAGATGCCACTCAAAAACTTATTGACTGGATCAACCAAACTGAAAACTTCTTTACTTCAAGAGGTAGTTACAAAGTTGGCAGTATTAGAACCGACAATGGGGGTGAATTTAAGAACAACATACTACATGAGTATATGACCTCTAAAGGCATCACTCATGAACTGACTATCCCATATAGTAGTTTTCAGAACGGTGCTGTCGAGCGTGCTCACAGAACTATTGAAGAAAGGACTAGATGTCTGTTGATTTCCGGTAGAGTTCCACCACAATTATGGAGTGAAGCTGTTTCATGTGCGGTATATCTTATTAACCGTACTCCTGTATCTTCCAAGAAGAATATTATCCCAGCCGTTTTATGGTTTCAGTTGGATTCGTTTAACTTTAACAATTTACGGACTTTTGGATGTGCTGCATATATCACATTGCCTCCTCAGCTCCGTGACGGTAAACTATCTCCCACATCCATTAAAGGTGTTTTTGTCGGATATGATTCTCATCATAAAGGATATAGAATATATGAAGTTGACACTGGTAAGATCTTTGTCAGTAGACAGGTAACTTTTGATGAGAATGTCTTTCCACTAGAAGGATTATCTATTGAAGACCTGTCTGAACAGTACACGACTTCTCCAGTTAATGGTGTTCCATCTTATTCCACAGTAACTAGTGGCTCTAGTTCATATTGTCCTTCTGGAAATGTTACTGTGTTGTCTCTACCTCCATCACCTCCATCTGATGCTCCTAATAGTGATATTTCAGATCCCGATACTGATATGTCAGACATTTCCCAAGAACAATCAGTTTCTCATGATTCCATGGATACTGATCCAGACCAACTATCTGATCATTCCCTAAACGATACACAATCATTCTCTTCTGTTCCTTCTCATAGCTCCGATTCGACGTTTAATCCTACGTCTTCCAGTGATAATAACAATTCATGCGTTGACGCGATATCGAAGCGAACCCGTTCCGAAAGTTGTGTCACTGTCCCGGTCTCTCCTGAAGAAGCTACCATTGATTCACCATCTTCTTCTTCTCGGTTATCTTCTGAGACTCCTTCATTAACAGGAGTTATTCAATCTCTAGCTGATTCTTTTACACGCCGCTCCATAGAACATTCACCTTCCCTTTCCTCATCGCAGCCAAGACAGAAAACGTCAAGTGAATCCATTGCTACAGATATTTACAATGGTCCTCAATCGGAATTTCCTGTTACTCGATTTTCAAAAAATAGGAAGGTTCACTTAGACGATATGGATGCTGACGTTGGTGTTGGTAATCAATTAACAACACTGGATGATCAAATGATTCATGAAATTGGTCTTCTTCCAAACACTCCTCTCAATCCTTCCACAACAGTTGTCACAAGGCCGGTGGCGGATATTCACACCGACGCTATACGTGCACAACTGTCATCAAATTCCAATAATTTTTCTGCTTCGTTACAATCTACATGATTTCCTTCTGATATTCCCGATGGCCAAATCACACTTCCTCCCCCAATGAATCCGTCACCTATCAAATCTCCTGGACACAGCACGAATTCGTTTTCCATAATCACACAACGAGATCTTACCTCATCAACTGATACTCCAATGATTGTCCACCCTCAACTAAGGGATCACCACTGAATTTTGCGTCGTTTGCGGTCAGAATCTCTACCTCTATAATGCAGAAAACTTCCAAGGCTCCCACAACAATTAAACAGACTCCTTTATCGCCCTCATGTACCAGAGTAACCTTATGATCGCCCTACGAAATTATCTGCATGAAATGACCAACATATATTCTCTTACATCCCACCGACCAATGATGAACATTCTCTACCGACGCGAAGGTTCCACATGATAAGGGATGATGTAAGAATGACACCTCGAATTACTGAACGATGATTCCTGCACATTTAACGTGTTGATTACACTCTAACTTATGATCATCTATTACCCTACGAGCACGCTATAATCTCTTTAGCACTGTATTGACAGCTTTCCTCATCAGATCCTCCGGATCAATGCTTACCGCACCATCTAAGCCTCATATCCGATATAATCGAACTATACCTGGCTACTACCTGCAAACATTGATTCACATACAGCTCTCGAGCTCCCGTCTCCTTAAACACATGAACCATCTTTATGGGTTAAAACTATTCCCTCAAATCTGCAAAAACGTTTTTATCCTACCCACACTTCCATAGACTTTTCCCTAAATTACCAAAAATTGAATCTCTTTATGAACAAACCGCGAATGGTCCATCATTAAATGCCCAAACTGCCTTTCAATAATTAATACCCCCTTCTTCCCACCAATTTTACTCCAAAATAAAAACCCAATGCAAAAAATCTTCTCCTGAATAGGTCTCGCTCTCAAAAACACAAAAACTCGAAAAATTTCTTCCAATATTTCGCGGTTTAAACCACCGATCCACACCCAATAATGGGACAACCTGTGC